CACACACACACACACACACACACACACACACACACACACACACACACTTGATGACATAATCCACTGACCTCTTCTGTGGCCCGCTCGTGTCCCCCCCCCCTCCTCCTCCTCCTCCTCCTCGTGTTCCCGGCATAGCGCTGCGATTTTTGGGAACCACAGAAGAACGCCCTCCTTCACACTCCCATTAACATCTGTGCAATCTAGGAAAATAATAGTTACCATTGGTCCTCGAGGATTCGTCTCGCACAGTAATGTCGTGCGCAGGGCACAGGAGCTACGGAGGGTTTGTTTTTCCATCTAGTACCAACATGTGAAATGCTCACTGTTTTCTGTTTTTACTCTTTACACACACAGAAAAGCAGATTTCCTGCTTCATTTCATTTCCTCGTTGCTTTTGGGCCCTTTGCACATCCACACGCACAGCCCAGAATATGTTTCAAAAGTAGAGAGACAAATAGGGAGAAAATACAACAAAAAAAAGCTTCAGATTTCCCTCAACTAATAAGAAAAACAAACTGTTAAAATGAGAGTTTTGCACTGAAATGTTGTTTTCATATACGTATATTTGTATCAGTCACAATTCAGCCTGTAAACTAAACTTTTTTTATTTTTTTATTTTTTTTATAAAAAACTGAATCGAATGAGCATCGGACATGCAAGTGCACACTCACGATGTACACACTCCCACAGCCTGTGGTGGCGATTCCCTCTATTCCACTGTGTATAAGCCATTCACGCCACGCTGAGCCAGCGTATGTAATTAATATTGATTACAGTAACACAAAGTTTATACCGCGTCACCTCCCACACATCCATATGCTTGTGCAGAAACAGGTTCTTCACCTGCTGCATTGTGGGTGATGAGTGTGATGTATAGAACAGCTTCCCAGAGGGGTGTCAATGGTCTTTAAATATGCAAATTGGCCCGTGGGTTAGCGCTCGCTCCGTGATGATGAGAACGAACCCACCACATTGACTTGTTTGCAAACTTAACCCCGCGTACCATACATACTCAACGCGGTTATTTCTGTAAGTGGGTGTGCTTGCATGGTTGTGTTATTGTGTGTGCGCTCAGGGCTTGCCCTCCTTCATAATTACAGTAGTTTCCATAATGGAATAGTGTGCTTGCTCTCTCTCTCTCTCTTTTCTCTGTCTCTCTGTCTCTCTTTCTCTCTCTCTCAGCTATGGAAGAATATCTGTTTTTCATTTGAAGGACCTTCGTCCCGCTACAGCCGTGTGGGAAGCACCCCCAGCATCCATTAGTGACATTCTGCACTGCCTTCTGCCGCGGAGCGAGAGTCCGTGTGCATTTGGGCTGAAAATGTTTCTGTTCTTGTCTTGCAGATAAAATCGAAGAGGCACAGAAAGAGCTCAAAGACCCCAAAGGCTCACAGAAAGGTAAGAGGTGTTTTTATCAAGACTATGAATGAAAACTATTGTTTTTAATACAAAATGGGTTAAATCTCTTCTCTTTCATTTGCATGGCAGTTTGCTTTTGTAGTTTTTTTTTTTTGTTTGTTTTTTGCTAGTTTAAAATGAATAAAATGCCTCCTTTGGGTTTTTCACTGAAAGCTCAAAATAAATAAAATTCACTGGTTTGTCGTTGCAGTATTTGTTTTTCCTTTTATTTAGCTGTAATTTAATGACACCCATTACCGATTTGATTTATTCAGAATGGTATATTTACACTGTGGAGTTAGTGATAATATTTGGTAACTAGTTGCTGTGAGTCATCTGGAACTTTGCAGCAGCCACCACGTTTTTGTACTCCCTCAGTAAAACTATTTGCAATATACAAGTTTATTTGGCCTCTGCAGAGTGAATATTTTACAACAGTGACACTACAACAATGGTATTATAACACATGAGCATTTTCTTCATTCATTGTAATCCCTTTGACCAGCACCTTTTTAAAAAGACCATAATTCTGTCAGAAGCTCTTTCGCACGTGGATCATTCGGCCACTGTCTCTATTGTGTATATAAAAACCACCAAGCTTCATACGGGTAGCGAATAATTAGAGAGGGGAGGAAAACGACATCAGAACAGACAGAATTTGCTGATCGGTTGAATTTTATTTTTATCCGGCGATAAGCCTTCACACGTTTTTCTAAGTTAAAGCTGAATGTAGACAGTGACAATGTTGTTTGTTTGCAAAGTGCCTTTTTTGTTATGATGGAAAAGTCTTGGTGAAGTCATGGAATCTCTTTTACAGACTTGTCCTAGTTGTGGGTTTGAGGAACTAATCCTTTTCCCATGTCTTTCACCAGCAGTTGATACAAATGTGTTTCTCTGTGAGGCGAGCTATTGAAAGTCACAGGGTTTGCTTTGAGAGCGTGTCGCATTGGTTGTGTGCAGCTTTCAAACGTTTTCATGTTTGTGTCGGAGAATGGATTCACTTATGTAAAGACAAGGCGTTCCTCAATCTACTTACACTGGAGACCTTGAGGGAACCGTGACCTCATCTTGGGAAATACCTACACAGGCCAGGAAACTGTGACGGGGCACTGCTGATCTTATGCAACATGTTCTGAAAAAACACACGGCTGAATCACCACTCGACAAATTATGGGACTGCATGGTATGGGTGTTCCCTTTTTTAAAAACAGAGCTGCTTTATTGTTGGAATGCAGTTTTGAAAGCGGTTGCATTTTCTGATCAGCCACCGTACTCTCAGCGACTCTCTTATATAATGAAGCGTGTGCCTCTGTGGTGTCACACAGCAAATTAAACACAACTAAGGGTGATTTGTCTAAATGATACAAATATATCCCCATCCAATTTCAACAAAAGAAGCTATTGATAAAAACAATAAATTACAATGAAATGGGTTAAGCTTTAGTGAAAGCTTTACAGAAATTGAATGTGAAAGGTTATGCTCTGTAACTTTAAGCTACACTTCAGTGTTTTGCTTTATGTAACAGTTATGCATGTTAAATATCAATAATGTAATTGTTTTGCACTATAATTGTACGGTCGTCACTGGTTTCCAGAATGACCGCATGGCTCTATAACAAAGCAATTCAAACATAAGTATTAGTTTTGATTCAGTCTGAGAGTGTTGAGTGTTTTGTATTAGGGGTGCAGAAAGTGTAAACCTCTAATGGTCACCAGAGTTTGCACAGTTTATATGGAGGAGAATAACTATGAAACATAAGTGAGTGAGGAATCAAATAAAGGTAGTATAATAGGAGGCAAATACTGTAGTAACTTAAATAATACTTGTTTGCTTTTTAATCTAAGAAAGAAATATGTTTGCAGAAAAAGGTTATAAAGCAACTGTGAGGAATATAGAAATTAGACGTAAAAAACAATAAATTGGTAGAGAAAAATCTAATGTTTATTGATTATTTGGGAGATAAACTGCACCCATTATTTTCCTTCACATGCTAAACTCTGTTCAAGTAATGTTACTAATGTTTAAATGACAGTTATATAATTGACTAGTTCAAAAAACACAACTGCCATAGCTTTGGGTATTGGTTGCTCAGACTTCTCCACTATTTTACTAATTTGAAAATAGGCACCAAATAACTAATTGTATAAAATGTTTGATCTCTAAATTGTATTTACTATGCTAGAATTATCTGCACTCTCTCTAAACAATTGAACACATTTAGAAATGATTTTCTCAGAGGGGCCTTTTGAGCTCACTCTGCTCATATGGTCGGGTGTTGGGGAAAGTTTCGAGAAAGATGGTGTTGTTGTTCCAACTGTGCTTTACTGTCTCCTTCTCCCACAGGGATATCTGAAAGCAGTCGGAGAAATGCAGATAACATAAAAGGCCTAAAGAGAAAAAAGGTTGTTACAGAGAATCGGCTCGAGAAAATTCCGAAATCACCGGTGAAGAAGCCCCTGCATTTGAAAACATCTGAAACTGCGCTTCACGAAGCAGCGTCCAAGGAAACTACACCTTCTTCTTGCTGCTCCTCCTCCAACAGTCCTTCCCACAATCCGTCAACATCCCCCAGTGAGAAAAGAGACCCACAATATGCCCAACCAGTTGCGACATCCCCTCACAAGGGGTCACCTTCCACCGACGCTGACAGGCTGAAGCAGGAAGAAACGACCTCCAGGCCACCATCACTTGAGCCCATTGCTGGTGAGAAGGGCTCATTGACTAAAGTGTCTCAGTCCAAAGACAGCGAGAGCAGAGAGCCCAGCTTTGAGGGGGATCCTTACCACAGCAGTGCTCCACTTGATGTTCTACTTAAGGCAATGGAGCCTGACTTTAGTACACTGGCCGAGAAGAAGAACTCCTTGCAGGTCGCAGAAATCGGAAAACCAGCTTCCACCCTTAATGCTCAATCTAGTTGTGAATTAACAACAATGCCAGCTGTCAATATTGGTCTTCAGAACCCAGCTTCCCATATGCAGACTTATTATATTGACAAGCAAGGCAACTTTATTGGCATTGCAGCACCACTACAGGGAAATATGCAGACATCTACACAGGGTACTCCCATGCAGTCCTCTCCGCTTGCTACACCGCATTTTATGCCGGAAAAGAATAGCTTGCACGTGAGCTTTAATACTGGACCATCAACTATAACACATGCACCTGTTCCCTCAGGCTCCAATGCTTTGCCACAAAGCCAACCACCTGTTGTGCACACATGCCAGTCTCTCTCAGCAAGTGTTCCCAGCACCATTCAGGTCCCAGTTACACCTTGCAGCAACCAAGTTCAGATGACCTCTGTAATGAATTTTGGTGCTGATCAGGTTTCCAAGGACCAAAAGCCTAAGAAGCCTGGAAAGTATGTTTGTGAATACTGCAGTCGGGCATGTGCAAAACCCAGCGTGCTGCTCAAACACATCAGGTCTCACACAGGGGAAAGACCATACCCCTGTGTAACTTGTGGCTTCTCATTCAAAACCAAGAGCAACTTGTACAAGCATAAGAAATCACATGCTCATGCTATAAAACTGGGTCTCATTGCACGCTCTGAATCTGGAGGTGGCTCACTCTCTCAAGAATCAGACAAAGCCCTAGGAACACATTCAGAGGCAGAAGAGAGTGGGGACAGTGACGAGGATGGTAGCACTGCAGACCTGGACCCTGACTCGTCACAGAGTAGTGTGGCAGCTATGTCTGAAAATAGTTTACAGAGTGTAGGTACAACCCAAGCAAGCCACGGGGAAGCAGACTCATCGGCTATGTTTGAGTCAATTAAAGCAGCCCCAGGTCAGAGGACGCATGAGCCCAAAGTCACAGCTGCACTTCCAAAAGTTGTTGTATACCCTGTCAATGTCTCCCCTCTGAGGGCAGATAGCCCGAGAGTCACATGCGCAGCACCTGAGCAAGCGGCTGCACAACGGCAACGAGAGTTCCAGACTGCTAATATGAGATCAAGCATCACAGTCCTGTCATCTCTTAAAGAGGTGGATGGTACAAATCCTTCACTAGATACTGTGAGTGAAGATGAAGACCAACATTGCAAGTCTCCACTGTTAGGTGGACATGCTCAGCTTCAGAGGCAACAAGCAACAGACTTTTCCCAACAGCAGCTGGTCAAGTGTCTACTAAGCCCTCGCAGTTTAGGAAGTACAGATTCTGGCTACTTCTCGCGTTCTGAAAGTGCTGACCAGGCAATGAGTCCACCTAGCCCCTTTGTTAAGATAACTCCACCAGTGGACATTGACATTGCCAAGAATACCCTTCCCAATGTCCCTCCTGTGGCTGCCACAGTAATGCATGTAGCAGCTGAGCAAAAGCCACGAGCCACAGAAGGACAGATGCGTCCACCATTAGAAGCCAAAGCACTCTCTCTGGAAGAACGAATTTCAAAGTTGATATCCGATAATGAGGCAGTAGTTGACAACAAGCAGCTGGACAGTGTAAAGCCAAGGAGGACATCTCTCTCAAGGAGAGGCAGCATAGACTCTCCTAAATCATACATATTTAAAGACTCATTTCAATTTGATCTTAAACCAATAGGAAGAAGGTCAAGTTCCAGCTCAGACATTCCCAAGTCCCCATTTACGCCTACAGATAAATCAAAGCCAGTATTTCTTCTCTCTGTACCTTCTCAATACCCACCAATGGATTGTTTGCCAATAACAAGAAGTAACTCTATGCCTACTACACCAGGACACTCTGCTGTTCCCCTTAATGTTGCCCCCATCCCCCACCCTCTGCGAATTTGTCAGTCATTTGATGACAAGATGAGTTTGTTTAATGATGAAGTATTTTCATCAGCCCCATCAACTCCAAATCCAGCAATACATTCTCGTACCTTAGTCAGACAAGCAGCAGTGGAAGACTTTACCACAAGTGAGGGACATGGCCTCCCTACTGTTCGCTCCATGGATGAGGGCTATCATGGTCAAAGCAGTTCCACTGAGCTGATGCAAAGAAGCAGATCTTTTGAGCACAGTCAGGACAGAAACAGAAAGCCTCAGCAGAACAAAGGCACGATGTACGAGTGTGAAACGTGTCGGAATCGGTACAGAAAGTTAGAAAATTTTGAAACTCACAAGAAATTCTATTGCTCTGAGCTTCATGGTCCAAAAAACAAGTCAATCATGGTTAAAGAAACGGATCAAGATGTTTTTCACGTTAACATAATGCAGCCCACAGTCCCTAGATCAACTAGTGGCACAGGAATACTTGATCAACAGACATCAATTAGGAAGAGAAGGAAAATGAAAAGTGTTGGAGATGAGGACGATCAATCTCCGACTGACACCATTCCACCTTGTTCGGTTAGTTTTGAGCTACCGACAGCTTTGGCAAGTCAGACTATTTCTCAGCATGCTGTAATAGTAGACATACAGCCCAAAAACAATCAGTCAAAGCTACCTCAGATTCAGCTGTTAGCTAGAAGTATTAATACTTCGGATTCCAGACTGTCACCAATACGAGAGACCCAGATCAGCACTTCTCCTAAAGGACAATTGCAAAGGCAAGGCAGTGGTACTTCCGTCATCAGACACACCAACTCTCTCAGCAGACCCAATTCATTTGAAACTGAATCTGTTGACAGGGCCTCTCCTGTTGATATTTTGGAGAAGGATCCCCTCAACAAACTCAAAACTGATGCAATAGCAAATGTCTCAGCTGACAGCTACCATGAAAAAATGTCCCAACCCAAGAATGCTGACTATGGAAAACAAAGGAAGGAACAATGCACTGATGGCGCAGTAGCAGCAGTTGGTGACAACACTACTCCTGTCCATCAGTCTCGTCTGGTTCGTCAAAATAACATCCAAGTTCCTGAGATTCTGGTCACAGAGGAGCCCGACAGAGAACATGAAACGCAGACTACTGAGCCATCGGATAAGCCTGCAGATCAGTTCAGCTGGCCTCCGAGAAGTGAGAGCTTGTCAAAGGTACCAGCAGAGAAACTTCCGCCGAAAAAGAAAAGAATTCGTCTTGCTCAAATGGATCACTCCTCGGGTGAATCCAGTTTTGAGTCCAGCCTCTCGCGAAGCCTCAGCAGGGAGAGTAGTCTTTCTCGTTGTTCCAGCATCTCTGCCTCTTTTGACAGAGATGAGCCATCTAGGTCAGAGAGTCCTTCCAGAGGGGAGTGTGTCAACAAAGTTCCAGAGCCAAAAGGTTTGCCAATAGCCTTCAACACCCTTGGTGTGCCTGGTATGATGAGGCGTGCCGCATCTGAACAGATCACTTGTACTCAACCATCTGTGGAGATTTCATGCGACTACCGTAGCAAGTCCTTTGACTGTGGCAATGTATCCCCCAGCAGATCTCTGTCACCTGCTGGCCAGCCAAAAAGTGGACAAATCCCTCAAGTTTCCCAGGTGCCACTTATTGAAAGGAGGCGGGGGCCATTAGTTCCCCAAATGTCTTTAAAGATAGGCCTCGAGAGTCAGCAACCTGTTCGGAAAGCTGTCATTCCTCTAGATAAACCTCCCATTACGAATGTTAGCTCTTTAACTCAGACTAGATCCCAGCAGATTCACATTGCCAATAGGCGCAATGTGGCTCAGCCTTTCATCCTGCACACTGGAGAAGCACCCTTGCAAAAGAATGAGCAGATTGTGCAAAGCATTCATTTGGGTAGCCTAATTCAGCAGCCTCAAGTCCATGGCCTTCCACACCCTTGGCATCAAACATCAAGGGTTCAAATATGCCAAAAGATGCAACCACCTCTGAGCCAGATCGTAGTTTGTCGTGAGAATGTCCAAAACAAACCAGCCACCTCTGAAGAAAAGAAAGAAAGAAGTTTTGTGCCCAAATACCAACTGCAGTGTCCCGCTCTGAGAGCAAGCCAAACATTTTCATTCTCCAGCACACAGGGCACGCAGACAGCCTTGCCAATTTTAACAATACCTATTGCTAATCCAATCTTGAGCACGTCAGACGTACTCCAAAATGTATACGTTGGTCAACCCAATCAACAGGCCTCTGAGATTAAGACACAGACTGTCGTTTTGTCAGGTGAACACCAAAGGGACCCATTTGGTCAGAACCAAGCAGGTGTTATACCATTGCCACAGATCCTCATTACTCACGAGCAGATGCACCCTGCTCCCTCTGTGTCCAATAAAAATAGTCTCTCATCCACTCACAGTGTAGAGAGTGATAGTCATGCTGTACCAACAACAAAGAAGGACAGGACTCAAACAGTTAGCACTCATAACCATACTGGTGAACAAGCACCTTCTCTTGGGTCTTTACATTGCACAAAGAAACTGTCTTCAGTGACTCTATGCCCACAGCAGGAACCCACTGCTTCAAGTAAACGAATGCTGTCACCTGCCAACAGCTTGGACATCTACATGGAAAAGCACCAAAAACGGGCTAAGGATGAGCATGGCGTGGCCTGTCTAACTGACGGCAGATCGGTCAATTATCTTAATTCTAAGATGTCAGAGGTTACCAGACAGCGGAAGTTTACACTTGTTAGGCAGGTTTGCACAACTGAACCAGTGGACAGTCCCATTGAAACTGAGGCCCCACCTCTGCCGCAGGTTAAAACCGATGGGGAGAAGGACTCACAGGCTACTGATGACGTTAAGCCCATGTCACCTGACAGTGCTGGGCTGAATAAAGACACAAGCACTGTTATTCATGAAGAGGCAGGCCCTGCCCTTAATATTACAACTGGTAGCCAGGGCACCTCCATGCCAGCTAACAACACTCTGAAACCCCAAGAGAAAGCTGAGGAACAGAGATGGACTCTTGCCAAATCTCCTATTAGGCCCTCCAGCTTTCACGGTGGTCAGGTGAAACTGACCACATCTGTGTCTATGGTAAACACCAAAGACAGTCATCGCCTGTCTTTCCCCAGCTTGAAGACTGCCACCACTTTCACGTGGTGTTTTTTGATGAAGCGGAAACCTCTTCACGTTCCACAGACTGACCTGAAGACTTCAGCCTATGCTGTCTGGACTGTCAGCCCTAACAACCATAACCTGCTTGGGTTGCCCACCAAGGTGGTCATGTCTCTGTTTGACTCCAAGCAGAGCTCCAAGAAAATGCACTACACCTCGGCCATAACAACTAGCGGGAAATCCGACATCTTGTCTTACTCGGGCAAGCTGAAAGACGTCATGCCCAGGGTAAGATCTGACGCAAAGTTTATATTGTTTTTATGTTTCTGATATACTGCTGACTTTTTTCTTAAATGAAATCAATAAATACATCAATCACCTCTTCTCTCTGCAGGTGCCAATAACCCAGAAGTCTATATCAGTTGAAAGCAGAAGTAAAGTGCAGCCAGAACCTCAGGCCAGCATCGAGTCAGACAAGGAGGTGGTATCTAAAACAGAACCAAGACGGGTCAAAATATTCGATGGCGGGTATGATTCAGAACTATTAATTTAATTTATATTATATTAATATTAAAGATCTTATATGCTTGGTTTTATGGGTTTGTCTTTGTCCTTCATGGTTCTGTTGCAACCCCACAGATACAAATCTAACGAGGAGTATATTTACGTACGTGGGCGTGGACGCGGTAAATACATCTGTGAGGAATGTGGGATCCGCTGCAAGAAGCCGAGCATGCTACGCAAACACATCCGCACCCACTCAGATGTCCGGCCATACCACTGCGTCCACTGCAACTTCTCTTTCAAGACGAAAGGTTCGTGCTCATTGGTCGATCAGTGTCCAAAGCTACGAATCTAAAGCTGCTGCTCCTCTACTTGTCATGGCATGGTTGGAGATGGATTTATCAATTTTTCCATCAACCAGGAAGTTTGAACTTGTTTGAATGTGGCGAAGTCTCTGGACTTTCACAATAATCACTTCTACAAAATGAATCAAAAAACATTCTAGTAAATAAGATGGAATGTATTCTCTGATCCAGATGTTAACCATCTGTGTGATTTCTCAAAATGTAATGTTTTTCCGTTAAATTGCGTTGTCTTTAAACATACTGCGCTGTATGTGGTTCTATATTACTGAATACATATGCACCATGATGAATATGGTACCTCAAATTTCAATAACATTTTGGGACACTGATCTCATATCTGAACATACTCTTAGTTTTTACTACAATTCATATTTGAGACATATTTTTAATAACTTTGAACTGCTACAGTTCAACATCTTTTTTTATAAAATGTAAGATGTTTCCCCATCTCTTAAACCAAGACAGTATGATTCACTATTCTTTATCGAACTTGCCTACCCACACCACACTGCAGAACAGTACTCGGTGTCAGAGCAACCCACGTTCATTTAAAAATGTCTTTATCAGTTACTCACCCTCTACGTACAGCTTGCCCAAAGACCGCATTCTCTTACATAAACTCCTTCTGTGCTATTGTTTGAGCTCTACCCACCCGGAAGACCTCACTGCCTCTCTTCTTGCAGGGAATCTGACCAAGCACATGAAATCCAAGGCCCACAGTAAGAAATGCATGGAGATGGGGGTTCCTGAGGGTCTCATTGAGGATCAGGATGCAGAGGACTCAGGTACAGTGCTTCACTGGTCTTTGCCAAGAGGGAAACACGGAAGAATTGGTGTGCTCAAAGGCTTATCAAACAAACTGAACCATTCTCTGTAAATTAAAGGCTTTATTTACAGTGACAAAGTGACTTAATACAGAGAGGTCTTGTTTTCCCCATTTGCTTTGGTTTCAAACAGGATTAACCTTCTTGGAATAATTCTCCCACGGTCATGACCTGAGATATAAAACACAGATTGTCCCCACTTGTGCTCTGTTGCTGTGTCGATCAATAGCTTTGCCATGTTCTAATTAGAAATGCTAAATGCAGCTCCTTCCTCTGTTAACTCAAAGCGCATGTGGGCGGCATGCACAGCATTTAGAAAGGAAATTGCTGCGTCTAATTTTAGAAGAAAAAAAAAAAGGGAGAGAGAGAAGCTCCCTGAAAGCATTCTATGGTCCCAGTCTGTTAAGAGCATATTTGTTTTTCCTCCTCTGCCTGTGATGGAGCTCAGGGGCATGTGGTGATGTGGGGTGTGAAACACTGCAGCAGCACAAAACCTCACCGAATTGTTAATCTGAGTGGTGTTTTCTCACTGTGTGGAAGAAACTGACATGATGATAGAAGATCTTTAATGAATAAAAGTGGTTCAACACATATATGTTCATATCAGCTCTGATGACTCATTTGTTCCGCAAAATACCAAGAATAGACTAACTTCTTACATATCCTATCATCTACAGGGGACCGGAGTCAGGTGAGCAGTGCAGACCGCCAAGATTCAGAGGGCGACGACTCCGATGGCCCCGATGATGAGGAGAATGACGACAACGAGGAGGAAGAGGAGGATAGCCAGGCAGAGTCTGGTCTGTCTACCAACCCTTCTGTCTGCGCCAGCCCTCAGCACATCGCTTCCAAAGAGCCTGAAGTCCCTCCTAGCACCCTGCTAGCCAAGATGTCAATCTGCTCAGTCTCCCTGCCTTTCTCCCGGCCTCCAGCCTCTCAATCCTACGCATCAGACTTTGAATCTGTCCCCATGATGAGCCCCGTGTCCCTGAGCAAGCAGATATTCATCTCTGGGTCCTGCTGCAGCTCAATGCCCCTCCCTTACTCTCCTCCGCCTGTTGCCACCACATCAGACTCCTACACCTCAGACACAGAGTCGGTGCAGATGATGAGCCCAGTGTCCCCGTGCAGGCAGATGTCCATCGACTACCCTGACTTTGAAGTGCCCCCTAGTCCCCCAGTGCCAGGCAAGGGCTCCAAGCTAGGCCAGGTGAGACCCATGTATTCTCGTTGTGTCTCTGTCCACCCATCCTTACTTTCCTATCAATACTCTTACTTTGAATCCTGCATGCGGGGCACTTCCACAAAGCTCCTGTGAATGTTCTGTCTTGTTGATTCTGATTCAACTTAGTGGACTGCTCCAAATACCATTTTTGATTTTGCCTCGATAAATAAGACTGAATATTGAATTTTCTCTCTTTCCACAGAACACCTCCTCGGCACCTCCCGCTGTGGCAACCAGCGAATCGGGCATACCCGTGAACCGCAGCACTCAGACTTCCTCTTATGCTTCTCAAGGCCTCGTGCACTTTCCCCCACATGGTCTATCCCAAACGCCAGGAACAGAGACCCAGACGCACCTGTTCAGTCACCTGCCCCTGCACTCCCAGCAGCCGTCTCGCTCCTCTTACAGCATGGTACCGATTGGGGGAATCCACCTGGTGCCCGCTGGCCTGGCAGCTTACTCCACCTTCTTACCGATCCAGGCGGGCCCCGTCCAGCTCACCATCCCAGCAGTGAGCGTCATTCACAGGAACACAAGCCCGTTACCAGCTCTCAACACTCCACCCCATCCGGAGGGCTTGCAAACCCAGCCACTTGTGGTGCAGGAACCAATCAGTAGTGTGCTGCCCTGCTTCCCCTTAGGGCAGGTCACTGGCCTGCAGGCTCAAACAATACAGCCAGTAGGTCTGGAGACACTAAACCTCATGGGGCTCACAAACACAGGCCTGGCATCCACACAGCTGCTGCCCCAGCAAGGGCTCACCCTCAATGCCACCCTCGGGCTGCAGGTGTTAGCTGCCAACCCCACCTCCCAAAGCAGCACCTGCCCGCAGACACACATCCCAGGTCTGCAGATAGTTAACATCGCCCTGCCTGCCATCATTCCCTCTCTCAGCCCCCTCTCCACACGTAGTCCTCTCCCTGGGTTGTCAGAGAGGCAGTGCAGCCCTGAAGCTCCGGGAGCTCAGCCGTCTCATAGTGAACATTGGCTTGGTTCTTTACGGAGCTGCATGTCTGCTTCCCCGACCGGCCCGTTTAAGGTCAGCAGCTGTCCAGAAGTGGCCTCGGGCAGCAGAGCTAGCCCCGGAGGCAACAGCAGCAGCAGCAGCAGCAGCAGCGCAGAGCTCACACAGACCGTTGAGAGGCGAGAAAGGGATAAATCCCCACGGCAGCATCGAACACCAGCCCCTGAGAGAAGAGCAGACAGTGCTACGGAGTCACCAGTTGAGGGAGCTAGTGATCCTGCACCTCCTAGACCACCGCCAGTGCCCAGCTGGCAGAGGGTGAATGATGACTATAATGAGGTATCCAGTGATGATGAAGACAGACTGGTCATTGCCACCTGAAAACCCCACACGGAAAGCTCTTCTTGTTCTCTTTTTGTAATTCTTGTCACTTTGTAAGACTGAAAACACTTTTCAGGGGGTTTGTTTCGTTGCAAATCACCTTTCAAAGCACAGATGCTGACATTCATATTGTACGTGCAATCATACAATTATAATAATGACCAATAATTTTTATTTGTACCTTTTTTTTTGTCCGCTCCAGACAATTTCTTTTTTTGTACATGTTGTATAGACAATTGTGCCTTTATGGAGTTTCTTGTTTAGGAACCTGTACATAATTCCTTATAAATTCAGTAGTTGCTTGTTTATTTAAAAAAGAGAGACAGAAGTAAAGAGAGGCATAAAAATGGAGGATATCAATTTAATTTTGGAGGATTTGTCATTCGTAAATTAAATTTATGGAATTATAAATGTTGTACTGGTATATGTACATTTCTATGGATTATTGGGCAATGTTTGTGTACAGATGTTGTGTTCAACTATTTATTATAATCCATCTAGTGCCCATTATGATTCATAAGTCCATAGGTATGTGCATTATGGTAGCTTTACATTGCTGTATCAATATTCTTAACTGTATCAGTAAAAATTTGTTTACAAACATTAAAGTGTTGTCTATATTTGTCAGTTCAACAACGATAACATATTTAAAGTGGACTGTGGTCGATCCCGTTTAGTACGTCCATATGGAATTTGTGTTTATTATCTATTCTGTCGTTTATTATGTCACATTTAATATTGTGGGCGCCACATTTCCCATATTAAAACATATAGAAACTCAACCCGAAAAATATAATCGATCAACAGAAAATTAATTGGCAACATTTTAATATTTGATTAATAATTTTACCAAATTATAAGCAAAAATGGAAAAACGTCCCTGGTTCAGCTTCAAATGATTTTCTGGTTTTCTTATACTTATATAATGATGAACAGAATATAGTTGGTGTTGGTTTGAATAATCTAACATTTGGAAACATCACCATGAGCTCTGTTTTTTTTGTGTACAATTTGCCGACATTTTAGAGACCAAACATCAATAATCAAGAGAACACGAGGTAGATTAATTCACAGTAAAATAGTAGTTTAGAGTTTTAACTAGATTCAGTTTTAATTCAGTAAATGCATAGACAGTATGATCGTCATTAATGGCTATGTCCAAGCAACCACAACTCAAGTGTACAAATATTGCACCAAGCTAGCATCATTTTGTTTGTGTGCAACTTTTCATAAAATTACAATCGACTCCAGTAAATCAGAGATATTAAGAGTTAATATTTGATGATCTACAGCGACTGTACAAGGTCGACTCTCCCCGACATGTTCTGCAGAGACCAAACTTTTCATACTATGCTACGACTTCTGCCTCACGTATTTCACACATACTATACTGTGGCTTTTTTTAATCACATTTTTGACTTTTAGACATACTATACTCGTCCATATAGTATAACTAATACTTGTATACAATAACCTTTTATGACCATTTTAAGACACTGTATTATGGCCTTTTTGTACTTTTTTTCGACATTATGCTTTATATTATGTTTAATGGCTTTTGTGATATACTACTACTTTTTCTGACTTTTTGACATACTATATACTATGGCTATTTGTCTACTTTTTCTAGACATAACTTTTCATCACACAACATTCTAGAATTACTTTAACGACGTTAATGATATTTTTATGACATTTTGATTAACTACACTACTGTATGACTTTCTTTTTGACATTCTGGATCTTAACTTTTCAATATAATTTTGATACACTGTACTAATACATCTTTTATTTTTTTTGTACACACTATTGTAACTAATCGATCCCTCCCATGCACCAGGAGTCTCTGTTGCTTGTTATAGATTGTC